AACCACTGACTACATTCAACATTACCCCTTCAATTTCCAACTTCAAACTGATCACCCTGTCTGACACTCTTTTCACCTCTAAAACATTCCTCACGAGCTCCTCCTTCAGGATCACTCCTACCCCATTTCTCTTCCTGCCCACACCTTAATAGAACAGTTCTATCCCCCTCCAATGCTACACTATGTAGGAAAACATATTAATGAAATCATAGCACATTTACTCTGACCTTTAAACTTTATGTGACCTTAGTCTTAGTATGGACTCTGTTAAGCTTTAGTCCCCCTCACCAAGGGGGTTAGGGAGAACCGAGGTAGGACTCAAAAGTGCAGACCCAGGTGCTAGTGAAAAAGGTGATTTATTTAAGGAGCACAAACAGAGTAACTGAGTCAACGTATAGTACAATAACCAGGGTAGGGCAGGGATGGCTGAGGAGACTAGGACAAGCAGATGAGTAGGAGGATTGCAGGAAACAGGAGAGTAGAGGACCAGGACAAGGCAGGCGAGTAGACAGGAGAACGGCGACAGGTGAGATGACAGGAGGGACACAGAAACGAGAAGACAGGATTGGTGTAGCGCTCGCTGAAGCGCTAGCTGTCCGGTACCCACGGTTGGGAAAATCACCGTCAGGTACTTATGGCTAGGAAAGTACGCCAGAGGTAATCACGGCATCGCTGCCAGATACACATAGCTAGGAAAGTATTGCCAACATGTGTGGCCCTATCTAACACAAAACAAGAAAAACTAAAACCTCGCCGTTCACTCAAACTGTCAAACACTTCCTCAACATGTCTGTGTCTAATATAGTGTAACGGAGCGTCTGCCAGAGGTTTAAATAAGGAGGAAGGTATTACAGTAATGCACCCCAGCTGTGTGCGACAACCCACAAGTCACTAATTACAGAAAGCGACACAGCTGGGGCGCCGATCCCACAAAAAGAGCGAGCAGGAGAGAGAAAGGCAGAAGAGAGGCAGGTTGCGCCGAGCAGATCTGACAGACTCCCTAAACAAGAGACATGATGCTTTTTAATGTTTTTTTAATGATCTTAGCCAAATTAACTCTCCTTCAATATATAAAGCAGCTTAGAGTAGAGTCACAATCAGGAAAGTAAAGCTCAAAGTCTTAAAAACTAAATATTGCAGATACCATACTCTACATCTGCTTTGTCCTGTTTACTCTAATACTTTTCTCTGAGATGAGCAGCCATTTGGTTGCTGTAGCCATGCCTGCAAATAAAGTAGATTATGGTGTATTAAAACTAAATGGCCTGGGTTTGTTACTGGGGGATGAGCCTATGACCTGCTGTGGTTCCCCATGAGTACAGACGAAGCCTCGTGCTGGATGACTACGTCAGCCATAAAGATAGGAAACCTAAAATCATTGTGTTGGTAAGTGGCACATCGTAATTGTTGGTGAGTTTTTCTGTCTGAAGCTGTTTAAAGGTAAACTAACAGCTTCATTAATGGTACCAAATAATTTGCTAATTCTTATAAACCATTAGTATGAAAAACGGTTGAGTTGTGAAAATCCCTTTAGCTCTTAGCTCATTACGTAGACTTTCCCCAATAGCTGATCACTGACTCCACCCAGATTACCAAAAAAAATTCCCATGTTTTTGTTTTTTTTGTCCCTCCATCATGCCAATGCAGTGGAAGTAAACATAATTTCATTGGTGGTAGTCACTCCACTGAAAAGAAACCTTTTTAAAATTCAGCGGCTTGAGATGAAACTGTTACTGTTGTCACGGTAAACCAATTTCATACAGTTATCACTGTTTCAAACTTTAAATATCATTAAAACCATGGTCGATTACTGTGCCTTGAAAAACTTCTCAGACCAAATGTAGAAAGCAACGTGGGTTTGTTTGGGTCAGTGAAAACGTGACAGAATGCCGTGACAGAGTGAGTGACAACAGTCTAGAGATTTTTCATTCATCTAATACAACTAAGTTGGAAGTGTTGGTATACTTTGGTCTTTACAACAGTCCTGAGGGAGACTTAATTGAAGATGGCTACCCTGTCTGCAGAGCATGCAGAAAAACAAATTGCTGAGGAAGGAGGCAACACTTCAAATGTTTTGAGTCATCTTACTGTTCTACAAATGACAGTCATTCATTGTATGAGATTTCTTTCTATAAACAGCCTCAACAAATAAATGTTCAACAGCAGAAAAGAGCACATTATCTCCATCTTGTCAATGAACATTTGACCCTTTTCAATTGGCCATGTCCTCCTGTCTTTTAAGTCAATATTTCACACACATCTGTGAACATTTTTTATGGTAGCATTGGAAAACCGGGAAATACTATTTACCAAAAAGGTCAAATGATCACAAGCGTATAAAGTTTTATTGGAATCACAGTGGGAAGAATGATGATATCTGTGCTCCATCAAATGTTTGGCTGTAACGTTAAAGAGTTTATCTGGCAGCAGCTTCTCCTGTGTGTCATGAACACAGTGGTTATCTCTGAAGTAATGGGGAACAGGCAGCCATGATGGAGAGAACAAAGCCACCTGGATGAGCCAGGACTGTGGAAGAAAATGGTACACTGTGATATAGTAAAAAACTAATGGGGAAACACATTTCTTCCATTTGGGGTTCCTGTGGCTTGGATCAGCTGGTGAAAGACAGATCCAGACCTGTGTTGCAAGTCAAAAGACAATCTTTGAAAACTGTTGCAAATTTACTGTAGCTTGCTGATCCAGAGTTCAGATTCTGCAGCATGTTAGTGTGTGTGGTCTTACGGTGTCATATGTAATCACTTATCAGTACTGTGTTTCAGGACTCGAGGCTGAGAGGACAAGGTATTCATGGGCTGAACCCGGCTTTTACCTGGAGCCTTCCTGTGCTCACAGACCGAAACTTGAGCCACACTTCTGCCAACTACAGCTTGAAAATGGATTGTAGAGACGCTGACCTAGACGGTAAGTATCTAGAAAACCCTTGTTTTTAAGAAAGTGGCAAGGTCAGCCATTTTCTATATTAATAGTATTTTCAGCAATGCCCATAGAGACCAAAACCTAAAACGGTCTCTGCCATTGACTGTTGTTCAAAAATTATTAAAAACAGCAAAACACACCACTGCACTGGGTGACATGTTTATTCATTACAAGAAATAATTCATGAAAGCACCATGAGCTAGCAGACTGTAAACAAGGCAGACAGCCACATGTAGACTTGCTTCTTGAAATGCTGTAAATAGTTGTGGTCATTTGGAGCTTTTGGGGCAACATTTTTAACAAATAATGTGGGTCTGGTGGCGGTGGAAATGGATTGGGCACATCATGTGAAGAGACAAAGGTGACATTGCCTGGAGTGCTTTACATTGGACACCTGAAAGAAGATGTAGGAGTGGCAGTCCTTCATTGCTGCCCTACATACCAGAGAGCATACTGGGCATTAAGTAGGTATTCGGGTTTGGTGTATCGTAACGAAAAGACGACACCCATTGCAGCAGTGTGTTTCAGTAATGTCTTCTTAGTCATTTTTGAACCAAAACAGAGGTCTGTGGCACAGGCGGATAAGCTAATCCATGTTGGAGCCTGTCAGACATTAAAACCAACAATGAATTGCCTCTACTCACTTAGTCTCTGTATAGGGATTGTTGAAATTACTATTAATATAGAAAATGACCAACTTTATCTTTTAAACAGACATATTTTCCTCAATTATATCGTACTAAATGTTAGATTTCCTCAGATTTATATTGACCACCGATACGTTTTGTTTCCTTAATTCTTTTAGTGCTGTGGTGTATGGTAGTAAGAGTGTACAGACCCTACTGGGAAACAAATGATGCCCCAGTCCCATCCCTTAATGTGCTGTAAAGGTTTTTCCTTTGCGTTACACGGAACTGCATTTCTTTGTAGAAATTAAGAGTGCACAACATGTAAAACAGTTAAAATGTATTCAAAATCAAAAGCCTGCATCATAATTACATGCATAATTAAATGCATTTCACACACAAAGAAAGGTTTATTAGCCACATGTCATGGACGAAGAAAGAGTACTGACTATATCAGGCTGCCGGTGAACTGCTATCAAACTGATCTCTGTTGCAGCCACTCAAGTCCACACAGCCTACTGGGTAAAAATCATACCACTTAAAGTAATGCAGAAACATTTAGCCAGTTCAATGGAAAATTGATTAACAGTTTTCCATAATCAATGCATGATTAAAGTTTTTTACCAAGCAGACATTGTAATAATTTGCTGTTTCTTGCTTCTTAACTCTGAAGCTTTTCTAAGTCCATTTTAATTTGACTTATGTTTAAACTTTATTAAAACAGTTGACCAGACAAAAACATACAACTGGGTCTGCAAATGACATTTTATAGGCTTAATGAATAAAGCAAAAGTTTGACATTTTGGGAAATATGCTGATTTGCTTTCACTTGTAAGAGTCTAATGATAGAATATATCTCTGAATGCTAAATATTGAGTTACCACCATGAAGGTGACTTCATCCTTTACAGTGTATAAGGATAACAGTGTATAAGGATTCTCAAACCCTTTGTACTAGTGCCTTAAATTTTAATTAACATTTTACATCTTGTTTGACAGAGCCAGTTTTTCCTCCTACTTCCAGTCTTTATGCTAATATAGGCTAACTGCTAGCTAGTTCTAGCCACATATCATGTAATTCAGAGTTGTATTGATCTTCTCAAACTTGGAAAAAAGGCAATTAAGCGTAACTATCTTTAAAAAATCTCAAACCCTTCCTTAAGTTCATTCATTTTCTACCACTTAATCACGGGGTCACAGCCAATCCTGGCAATCGGGTGAAGGCGGTGTACACCCTGGACAGGTTGCCAATCCATCGCAGGGCTAACACATAGACGAACAACCACACACGCACTCCTATGGACAATTTAGAGACACCTAACAACCTAAGCTGCATGTCTTTGGACTGTGGGAGGAAGCCGGAGTACCCGGAGAGAACCCACGCAAGCACGGGGAGAACATGCAAACTTCACACAGAAAGGTCCCGGGTGGGACCCGAACCTGGAACCTTCTTGCTGTGAGGCAGCAGTGCTAACCACTGCGCCACCGTGCTGCCCCCTTCCTTAAGTTGAATTAAAAAAAGTTAACGAGACTAAAAATAGTCAGTAGGAGCAGCCCTAATTTGAACATTTGTATACTGTATGAACAAGATTTGTCGATGGAGAAAACAACTGAACAACAGCTCAGAATGTCCATATTCTGTCATGAAATAATGCAAATGATGATTAGACTCTGAAAAAGCTGGTTAGTATTCCCTGTCCAGCTATCAGCTTCTTCTTTCTTGAGGCCTTGCTGACATTCTTACCAGGCTTTTTGACTGAGATGCTAGTGGGCTGTTTCTTCTCTGGAGGCTCATTCTCTGAGCCTTCATTTTGTTCAGAATCCACCTGCTTCCTCTTGTTACCTTTGCTCTGCATCTCAGTGTGAGCTTTCTTTCTGTTGCCCAGACCTGCACCACTTTTCGGCCCTAGAGCTGCCCCCTGTTGTACACCACTCTGCTCCTTATTTGGACATTTAGAGGTAGGCTTGGCTGGACAAACTGAAACAAAGCAAAAGAAAGTGTGATAACCTAGAAAAAAGGAAAATGATGTGATGAAATTGCTGACATTAGCTGCTAGTTGAAGCAGGCTGTGTGTTTATTCTACGAAGCTGAAACTTAACATTAGTCATGTGGCCTGATGGAGCCCAGCTTGAATTCTCACAGAACAAAAGACAGAAGGGGAAATGGGGGGACAAGTCTGTGGTTTTGCTACAGATGTGGGGGTGAATAGGTTTAATAGAATAGGGATTAATTTAATGGGCTCCCAGTCCCAGCCGTGGGACTGGGAAGGGTTCAAGGCTGGAGCGGAGAAGGTGTGCCTGGGCCTCAGTCCAGCTGTGTGTGGCGTCAGAGGAAACAAATCTATCCAGCAGAAAGAGAACACTCCATGGCTTGTGTTGACATTTTGAGCTTTTCTCTGCATGCAGGAGAGTGCAAAAAGTACCTGTTGTATTTCCAGAAATTAAGGTCAACTTTATACCTGAGGCTGTCTCCTCCACATCAGAATTGCACTCCTCATCTACAGCTGTGGGGGTTTTGAGTTTGGGCGCTGGGTGCACACAGGTGGGGGCCTGGCTGGTGCTGGGGAACTCCAGCACACGGTTGAGTTTCAGGTCTTCTTCATCTTTGTAGGTGCAGGCAAACTGTGATCGGATGACTCTGTCTCTAGCCTGAAATAAACAGGGAAAAATAATTCACTTGATATGATAGACGGACATGGTTGATAATCAGTATGAGAGACTCGGGGCAGGTGGCCTTAGTATCCAGCTTTCAAAATGTACGTTCTGGCTTTTGCAAACAAAACTCAGCACACACACACACACACACACACACACACACACACACACACACACACACACACACACACACACACACACACACACACACAAAATTCACTAAGTACTTTTCCATTTTTGCACATTTTAAACTGCTCAACAAGAGGGCAGGAGGTGCCAAATATCTGCAGCCACACTAGTGGCTAACTTCCTAGTTAGCTGTAAACACAAAGTGCAGCTGAGGCTGATGGGAATTTCAGTTTTTCCAGATAGAGTTGCTTCAGAGAGTATTCAGACCCCTTCACTTTTTGCACACTTGATTGTGCTGCTTAAATTATTTTTGACATTGTCTAAAACTTGATTCAAGTCCACCTGTGGCAAACTGTTATTACTGTACACAGGAAAGGCACCTGTGTATATAATGTCCCACAGTACACCCTGCTTCTCAGGACAAAGGTCAAGATGGGAATTCCAAGAAACTTTCTATAGACCTCTGAAAAAGATCAGAGCAAGGATATAAAACCATTTCTAATGCTTTGAGTATTCCCAGTAGCACAGTGGCCTCAGTGGAACCAGGACTGTTGCTACAGTTGGCTGTCCTGCCAAAATGAATAAAAGAACACTAAGGGTCTTGGTCAGGGAGGTGTCTAACAACTCAACAATTACTAACAGAGGTTCTGAAGATTGATATATATAATTGGCTCAACTGCACTACCTTTTAAACAGTAGAAAGTTTTGTTCTGTATTATCACAGTTACTGGTCTAAGACAGGAACACAGCACCTCATTAAAAGCCTTTTCAGACAGCCTATAACAAAGTTAATCATACTGAATATTACAATTCTCGCCCTGGGGCACAAAGATTCACAGCTTTTCATTCACTATTTGATCTGTGCCTATTTGGGATTATCACAATCCAAGGATTTCAGGCTAGTGGGCCACAGTAGGTGGAAGAAATCTTAGGGAAAAATATGGTAAGCAAAGCTGGGTGGGTTTGTAAAGCACAAAGGGATTAAAGCCTGTGTGCTTTTCAAAAGAACTTCATAAAATGCACCTTAAAGTTGCCATAGCATACTCATTTTGCTCATTTCCAGCAATTTAATGTTTACATCTAGATTAGCTTGGCACCCCTCATAACTCCAAAGAGTCTGTAATTATTTCAGAATGATAAAGCCAGAGAGCCTCTTCCTTAAAATAAGAGGATACTTCGTGAATGCGCACAACTCCTGCTGTCGGTGTTGTGTCGAAAGTGAACAGCACAACGAACCCCAACGGCATTACTTAGAATTTCTCCTCCATAGATAGGCAGACAACGGTATATGTACCGATGAAAAGAGATGTGTAACACTAAACAAAGTGGGTAATTGAGAAACCCCATATTTTAACTGGCATAATGCAGACAGAGTAACTTCTCCAGCCTTACAACAATTCTCGCTAACGTTATAGAAACAACGCATTAACAGACATGTAATGTGTTTTTTTTTTTTTTTTTTTTAACTTACCGTTAAGTCCCACCGAGTATTGGAAACATCGCTACAAGGCCAGTAAATCCAACTGGTGGTTGCTGCATCTTCCCCCACACAACCACATACAGTCCCAAAGTTGTGAAATTAATTTCAACAGGTAGTGTAGCGCCGACAGTAACATCATGGGTCATTAACCAGCAATACATCACATGCGGCAGACACACTGGCCTCAAATAGTCAAAACAAACAGGTACTGTGCTCCGGAGGAATCCAGCCTTGATGAGCTGATCATTCACCGCTGCGGGGCTTCACTGGCCGGATGCTTGTAGGTTAGACCCAGTCAGGTAAAACGTAGAGTCCTATACAGGAACATCCCTGGACATGCAGTAACCTCAGGCCCTGTAATTTTCTCCACATCCTCTGGTACAGCAGCAGGAGGTAAAATATATCCACAAAACTACACGCAGTCTCCAAATTCCTCTTTTAAAATGGCACCCATGGATGTCAGGAAAGCTCACATTAACATGCAACTGCCTAGCGATTAATGACAATTCAAGAAAATCACTAAATTATCACATAATACTTTAGTTTGTTAGGAAAAAAAAGTCTTGTGAGCGGGAGTGAGACGTGTATAAACCGAGGTGCTTCTGCACAGAAATACTAGAACATACAGTATGTACAGCTCATTTTTTGAGCTTTAAGCCAGGTCTAAGATGATAATTCACCATTGTAAATCAGAAAACAAGGAAAAGCATGCCATGGGCTCTTTAAACAACAATAATGGTAAGTTCTAGGCACATTTCAATAATGAACCTAAGTGTACTGAATGCTGTCCTAGTTGCATGTTAATAGAACATTGAAACAATGGGAGGGGGTGGAAGAATGAACATGGCCAAACTATGACTGACAGATAACATTTAATCCAATTACAACAGGTGCAGTGAGATGGCCCTCATTCCACTGAAGAAGACTGTCCTGAAATAACCTCCATGCACTGCCTGACCTGACGCTGGAGACACCTGACAAAGACATTCCTGAGAATATTTCTTATCACAAGTGCAGGCACTTTCTATGGCTTTGTGTTTTGACATTTTCTTCCACGGGTGATAAGTCAGAATGAGTAACAGGTACACCATTACAATTTTTACCATCAGAGAATAATAGAATCACTCAAAGTAAATATGTGTGTATTGTTTTGTGGCAAACATCATTTCTGGGGTCATATAAGAGCAGCAATATATTGGATTTACAAGTAATAGTATGTTTGAATCATCTGTGGCACTGAGGAAATGATTTGGAAACACCTCAAAAGCAGAAACCATCTTTGTGTGTGCCGTTTGACATCATTGCATGATGAAACTGTTGCATAATTCTTGTATAAAGTCATTCACCAGACAACAGGAAACAATAACCTTTCAAGCAAGCTTCCCTAGCTGTTCAAGTTACACAACTGATACGGCATCTTCAAAGTGAAATTGATGTAGAAAACTTCCACTGAGTTCAGGAAGGAGTGAACTGTTCAGAGACCATTACAGCGCACTGAACCAGGAAGGCAGCCAGATTGTGGGAAGCTAAAATGACATCTGCTAGTGAAATCAAATACAGGAATCATTTCACAAAATGTGTTTAGCATACATGTTCAAAAGGAGCTCTCACACGGAGCTACTTCATGTTAAAAGTTCAGTCCTATCCTAAAATCTAGAGCTGGTTTTGTCAGTGTTTTTGGGGTGACTCAGCAGTTGTGCAGTGTGGAACAGAGGTTGAAGTAGTACTCGAATCCTTTTAATTAACAGTAGCAATACCAAGCTGTAAATAATAGTACTACAGATAAAGGTCCTGCATTCCAAATTTTACTAAAGTAAAATTAGGAAAATATTAGCAAAATGAACTAAAAGCATCAAAATGGATCATTTTCAGTGTTATTATAAATAATGTATAATTAGGTTATTACTACTGATCCATTAGCACAGCCATAGCTGACAGTGACTCAGGTGACACCACTTGAGGCAATAAATTATACTTCAAACAGGTACCCCCCCCTCAAGATACATTCTGATAAATCACCTTGTCGGTGCTCTCTGGTGGACAAGCTAAGGTAAGCTGGTGTATATATTGGCTGATAAGTAACAAAAAACTGAAGTACTGAAATAACTGAATTGCCACAAAGAAGTACAAAGTCAGTATAGTCGTAATTAACAGATCAAAGAGTAAAGTCCGCCAAAATGTGACCCCCCATTGTCTGACACTGACCTCAGAAAACATCAAGATGAAAAGACAGAACAGCTTAGGTCACAGCCAGGAGGGAAGGAAGGAAAAAGAGATACTGATAAATATGCAGCATGTGAAATTGTGCAGCGTAAGCAAATGGTCCTGATCCCAGACAATAGCATAACTTATCATCAGGATTGGTTAATGGTTTGAATCCCTCACAAATAATTAGTTTTATGCCATGGATTTAAACAGCACCCACAAACCAACACTAAGAGCTAAAACACAGCTGTGCAAATGGGAATGGTGGAAGTCAGTTAAGATGTGAGCTTCAGTTAAGAAAATAAATAATATAATACCAGGGAGAAATTACAGGATGTAAAGACATTATTTTCAATGTTTGTACATCTGATTCAATTTGAAGTAACTGATGGTTTCGATTTGGGGTTCTTGGATGAAGGGGCCCATGTTACCTTGGGTTTGAGCAGGTCTAGCCGGCTCTGGACGCGGTTCCTTAGGGGTTCTGGAGAGCATCCAGTAGACATTTCGGGGGATCTGAGGAGGGAGCCACAATGAAAGGCTAAGAGGCTTATAAAGTAGAAGAGCTAGAAGAAATTTTAAAGCACAGTTCTCTTTTAAATGCAGCTTTACAGAGTGCAAGATCATAAAATCAATGTGTAAAACACGTTTTCACTAGTGTCAGACTGAGCTGATGTTGGGCTTTTGCAACAAATTGGATATGAGCTGTTCAGTGTCATCCACCTTTGACATAAATTAGGTTCCCCCCCAAATCCAGTACAGTCTATAAGCAACAGGTGGTATACACTTATTCACTATATAACATCAGTAAAATTCTTTCAAGTTACTGCAGGGTGCTTTAGTGCTGCAACTAACCATCACTTACATTAGCAATTAATCAGATTATTTTTAGTCTAGAAAATGTCATAAAACAGTCATAAATGTCCTAAAATATTAAAATTGCTGGGTGCACCAGAACAGGGAGAAAACAACGCCAAAATACACTATGACAAGCCACATAAAGATGAGATTTGTGCTCTACTGGAGGTTTTTTCCCAGACTTCATATTTTACTTTTTCAAGAGTAAGGGTGGTTACTAAATGGTTGGTTTTGTGTAATATGCATCTGGTTTGTTTGCCCATCTCCGTTAAAATGATGCACACTGTCATGTCCAGACTGTTTCTGCAGAATATATCCAGGATTGTTTTAGCCTTAAACAGGGCTAGTGTTGCCTTTGTCCAGCAGTATTTGTGAATTGTTTTGTATTAGTTTCCTTTTTGTCCACCTCATTTCTTGAAACAAGAAAACTGAAATGCTGCCACACAACAGCTGATGATCTGCATCAGCATCTGTTAATTCAGCTTCAAATTCTGCATCATAAGCGCATTTTTACTAGTGAAATAACCATATAGAATATCCTTGTAGATACATCACAGTCCCATGATGGTATTGAGCCTTTTTCCTGTCATGAAATTACAAACATCGTTACATCCCTAATCATTAACCTTGAAAATATATTGTCCTCTTACAAAATACAAAGGCCATTTCAGTCAAAATTGTTGTATTGTATGCTTAACTGTGCTGACCTGAACATTGTGAGGATGCATGTTCCCTCAGTTCCACTAAGGGCAGGCTGGTCCTCAGACAGCAGGTCTGCCTTATTCTGACATGGAGGAGTCAGGGCCTCTTCGTCCAGCATCGCCATCAGCACCTTCACAGTGTCCCGGCCTCCGTATGCAGTGGCATGATTGACTGCGTAAGCTCTTGGCTGAAGAGGAACAGCAACACAGCTACAGTCATCGCGCTGTCAGCTCACACAGCTGATGACAGAAGATGAAGAAGTAGCTTCTGCTTGAATGTGTGGACTTCAGTTAGAAACACGAGTCAAATCTGTAGCTGATTGGCTGGAGAGCAGAGGATATACATTACCCTGGCAGGGCTTATCCCTGTGCCGCCTCCATTAGCGGTTTGTTTGTGGATATGGTGTAGCTGGCAGATCCTCTCCTTCAGCTCCTTTGATGTCTCTTCAACTGCAGCATAAACTGCATCTCCACTGCTGCGTCCCTTTACCAGCACTGTCCTGATGGCAGACACCAGCCTGTCTCCACATACACTGAAATGATATGTAGTGACAGCTACTAGAGAAGTTGTATTGTGCTAAAGAGAGAAAAATCAGCATTTGTTTTGGAAAGTATTAGATGACTTCTACTGAGTGCGCAGACTCAGGTTTTCAGCTGGATGGAATTAATAGTGTTAATGAGTTCAGCCAATATTTGCCAACATGAATAACTTTCTCCAAAAACTGAAACCCCAGAAAAGCCAGGGTTTTAGTCTGAGTGTCTTCAAAAGATATGCTGCAGCTTCATTTTCAATTAATTGGACACTGACTTGTAGCTGTGCCAATATTAACAGTTATGAAACAGAACATATGCTTCAGACCCCTGGAGGCCAAAAACTCAGGGATTTTCTTCAATATAGTTTTGGAGGATTTTTGTCTATGTTCACACACTGTCTGTGTTGCATGTCAAAATACCCTAACAACATAACACCTGTGTCAGTTTATAACAGTCAAGGGCACTAATAGCATGTTAGAAAAGATTGCAGTAAGGTGGCGAGGTGGTGGTCCAACCCGACTCAGCTCTGATGTCAGAGAGCAGGCCTCAGTAACAGAATCATTTGGTTAAAACAGATGTTTGCAATACAAGGGGCCCTGAATTCTCTGTAGAAGATGTTTGTATGAGGAAATATAGTAGTCCACTGAGAGCGTAAATGCACTGCCTGCTGAAAGACGTGTTGGCTGAGTTCATCAGTGTCTCATCAAACGTGGAGCGCTTCCAGCCTGCATGAACTGAGAACCCTCAAAAGAGCAGTGAGAGTTGAATCCACTACTACACAAACATCACAATGTATTGTTAGGGCTCGGCTGAGCAAAGCTCAGGAAGGGGACTGCTACAAAGGTTGCCTTCAACAGATTCACCTCCAAGCTCAGCCCTAACACGATTCAAAAGCTAAATCATTTTGGATATCCACTTCTGTTGTGCTGCCAACTACTTTGACATCAAAAATAATTGGTAATGGTATTGAGAGTGATCTGTGGAGCTTGAGGTTTGATGATAATTCATCAAAGTAAGAGCATTACAACAGAGAACAAGTTATTTAACCACAACAGGCTTTGATGTAGCAAAGATGAACATGTTTAGCAATCCAAATGTTATCATGAGAAGCTTAGATGGGAGTCTTTACTGTGATATCTAGGAAATAATTACAAGCTACAGTAGGACAGGTGGATTTTATGATCGCAGGTGCAATTTCACTACACTGGGTTGTAAATATGTCTGTGAACAGCAACACATAGAGCTGCTGAACTTAGTTCAGCTTTCAAACTTGAATTAGCCACATCAAAGAAGTGGATTTTTAACCTGAACTTAAATTCTAGGAAGAAGTGGAGACACCTCAAAGAAAATTCCATCCATTCATAGATGACAAGTTTTTCTGTATTAGACCTCTGCATTACTTTCATCAGCTCAGGATGAATGTGTGGAAATGGATTACACCTGTATGTGTATAAAGGCACTATAAATTAAGTACTGCATTTTGCAAGGTTCCAAAAATTGTTTATATAGTCATCTTTGGGATAATCTACTACAGATCAGATGGATGAAGATTTCAGTAATGAATTGATTCTCTAAACAGTTGTCATCTGTGTATCCAAAGCTGTTTCCAGTCTTTATGCTAAGATAAGCCAAGCTATCTAGCTGTAGCTTCATACATAATGTGACTTCCACATCTTTTTGTTACCATTCTAACTCTTGGCAAGGAAGTGAATAAGCATATTTTGCAAGATGTGAAAGTATTTCTGTAATATGTTTGATTTGTGCATAATGTGAAAATTTACCAAACACTGTACAATTTGTATCTTGTTGAGTTTTAAACACTTCAGTTTTACTTATGTTGCCAAAAATTTGAATTGCATCTCTGACACTTTGACCACTTCAATTTCAACTCAGATTCAAAAACTAAAGCCTTAACACATTCTTGTTTACAGTTCAATCATGGAGCCTATTCCTCCTCAACATTTACAACTGATTCCTTGAATAGAGGCATTTCCTCAAAAGCAACAGAAAGAATGTGAGCAAGTGGAAGCTGTGCTGTGTACGTAATCTCCCCTAGGATTTCTTCCAGGTTGTCTAGAAACTGGACAAAGTCAGACAGGCCTTTAACATGTTTCCTCAGTGGGTCAGACTCAGCTGGGGCATAGCTCTTTCCTCCAAGCTGGATGGCCCGCACAAAAGATGTCACTGCCTGCAAATAGCATGAACACAAATCCCTAAGTGTTGCATCAGAGAGTATTACTCCAGTTTTAAAATAATGGGTTTCTGGTGACATCAAGTGTGAATACATCAGCGCTAAGACCTAGGCACATGTTGACTGTCAGTGTTTCATACCAAGAAGAGAGAAGTGTTGTTGTTGCGTGCAGTGTGCTTTATGTGTGTAAACGCCTGCTGTCCAAGTGTGCGACTGGGGACATCGAGGGTAAGTGCCAAGGCCATGTCATTCTTGGAGTTAACAAGCAAATTCAGATAGGAGCAGAACACCCTTCTCACTGCCATTTTGACCTGTTGATAATCAGAATACACATTTTTAAAGTACATCATTCTCATTTCAGTTCCTACATTTTTTTTTTGAAATATGCTTCTAAGGCTTCAGCACCAATTTAGCTCAGCATAAAGAAAGGAAATGCAGGGAAACAGTGAGCCTGGCTCTGTCCAAAGGTAACAAAATCACCTCTAAAGCTCACCAACTAACTTTGTTTAATCAGTACAAAAACTGAAGTGTAAAACTGATGATTTTGATAGTTTATGATGGGTTTATTCATTATTGCCGTTTGAGGTGCTGCTATGCAGATTTAGCCTGCTAATGTACACCGATCAGGCATAACATTATGACCACTGAGAGGTGAAGTGAAGAACACTGATTATCTCGTGGCACCTGTCAGTGTGTGGGGTATATTAGGCAGCAAGTGAACATTCAGTCCTTGAAGTTGATGCGTTGGAAGCAGGAAAAATGGGCAAGTGGAAGGCTCTGAGTGTCTTTGACAAAGGCCAACCAGTTATGGTGAGCTGACTGGGTCAGAGCGTCTCCCACACTGCAGGTCTTGGTGGGTGTTCTTGGTCTTCAAAGGTTAGTCCCTACCAACAGTGTCTAAGGAAGGACAAATGGTGAACTGGAGACAGGGTCATGGACGCCCACGGCTCACTGATGATGAGGTTGACCTACTGTAGATTAAACTTTTAACTTCCATTTGTACTTTTCTAAAGATTAAAACTTATTTGAATCTTTGTTAAAATGGTTGAAAATGAGAAATACTGTACATTGGTCTCTATGAAGAGAAAGAGTCAGGGGCTGTAGTGGTGATATCACACCTAGAGAGGTGAGGCTGTTGAATTCTCTCTAACTTGTCCTCACGACCAGTTTTCACTCCTTTTACATAAGTTTTTCACTGACTTGTAGACACATCTGTGCTCTTCCTGACAGTAGAACTGTGGAAGCAAATGGATTCACAGAAGAAGCACAGTGAACTGCAGAGTGACACAAGTGCCAACCAACTGCCACATTGACTCCTATGTAAACAGTATTAGGCAGGTGGTCATAATGTTATGCCTGATCGGGGTATGCTAAACTAAGCTAACCGGCCTCTGGACAAACAGAAGTGTGGGATTTTTCCATCCATCTTTCCACCAGAAGGTTGAACTATTTCTTTAATAGACGTTTTGGCCTGATAGCAGTCTGTGTTGTGTTTATCAGCTACCATTAAAAGCTTTACTGCCTGAATAAAAACCACTAAAAACAGCAAGCAACAGCCTATATTAAACTCCAAACATTACATCACTCTGTTAGAAGAGCAATCCTCTACTAAAACTCAAAAATTCCAAAGTGACAGAGAAGAGAAGAGGAAGGAGACTTCTACAGAAGCTCTTGTCTAGCTGAATTTTAAACATCTGGCCGGTAATTGAATTCTCACTGCACTCTTAAATCTGAGTGATATGATATAGAGCTCCTGTCAATAACTGCAGGAGGGATCCTAGACAAAATTAAGTATGCTCAAGAATAATCCCCAGGATTAGAGAATGAATTTCACTTTCCTAAAAAGAAACAAACAAAACTTTTTATGTAAGAATGGTGGAAAAAGGGGATTTCTTATGAAATATACTGCACCATTTATTAGTAAATGAAAACCTGACACGGCCTACCTCTGATCTGCAGGACCTGCCTTTTCTACACGGCGTTGATGGGACTGAGACGTCTGGCAACTCTGAGACCTCCATGTTGATAGTTCCTGATAGGAACTCAAACAGCTCAATCTTAGCAAAAGAGGGAAAAGAGCAATGGCCAATTTAATAGTTCTATCTTAAACACAGAAACCAGTCTGATCAGCGACAATCAATACTTGTCTGATTTCAACCAGCTTCTGCTGACCGGGCTCACGGGCTCCTCTGGGTCTGAGTCCATTAGTCTCAGCTGTTTGTACATGAAGATGATATCAACCAGGTCCACTGTGTTGGAGCATTTCAGGAAGGATTCGTATGCCTCCACGATGAGGTCATAGTTCTCCAATCGTGCAGAGCTGGGGGGTGGCAGGTGAAGTTTGTCTAGCAGTAAGTGTTTCCAGACCATCAGGACATCACTCAGAGGCACTTTGAAGTCTTTGCCGTGCTGTCACAGGAAGAGAGAAAACAGTAAAAGCAGCAGCCATAATTACTGACGGCCTGGAACCAATCAGTTCAGAAGCAGGAAGGCTTTCTGCTGTAGTCCAAAAATAAGCCATGAGCGATCTCAACCGGAAGCCTTTGGAAATGCTATCATTTATTGATGTGATAACAGTCAGCCTGATGGTTCAGTTGATCTATGCCACAATCATGACACGAACTGGGCCCTATCCGGCTTTCTATTTGGGATGCCGGATGATTTAAAGCAAGAATATTGCTGTTGAAGTTCAGAGAATCTTTTCATAGTTTATTCCTTTATTGGTGGGAGTCCCTGATGGACTAGTGGCTAGGATTCAGCGCTCTCGCCACTGTGTCCCGGGTTCAACTCAGGGTTGTGTCAGGAAGGGCATCTGGCATAAAACATGTGCCAGACTTCACCATGTGAGTTGTCAGTGTGACAGTTTGCTGTGGCAACCCCTTGTGGGAATGGCCGAAGGTGAATTATTTTATTCTTTTTTTATTGGTGATTGCAATTGTTTAACATCAGCTCTAGTCATCACCTAAGAACCCAAAGGACAATGACAACAAAGTCTTTTGAGCTGCATGAAAGAAAATGAAGAAAACAAGAAAATTTCTGAAGAAATAGTAAGTGTGCCCGCACCTGTTGCCATTTTACAAGTGCATGTGATGGGGCACAAGTTTTCGTTGAAGGTAGCGCCATCTAGTGTCAACAGGGGATGAAACTAAGGACAGAGAGATATCAGTGTAGCTCATGTATTGTGAATTTGGATGAGATTCATGGCTTTCTTGTAGAGTTATAGCATTTCAACCATAAAGGCTACCTGTTGCGCCCGCAAGTGGCAAAAGTAAACAAAACTCTACCAGCCTGCCCAGAGTGGGGTCCTGTACTGGGGACCCTATTTTGGTAGCATTTGAACTTTTTATTGAAGAGTTATAGCATTTGAAATCAGTGGGCCTGGCCCACTTGCCTTCAGTGGGCAATAGGAGAACGCTAGGGAATATTGCACAACAGGTGGCACCATTCTTTCCGCAGGTGCTACAAATAGGGGGTGTACCAGGTTTGGTGAAGATTTGATGAAGTATGGGGAATAGACTGAAAAAATGGCAGAAAATTTTGTCAGGCGGAAGTGGGCGGCCCCAATTGCGTAAGGTTTCAAGAACCATGCAAGGAATCCAGGGGAAAAATTATTTTTATTTTATGCCAAACAAAAAGGCTTCTAATTGACCACAAGGTGGCACAGTAGGGGTCTTTTTTATTGTCTGTAGTCTTGTCAGAAGGAACACTGGTACCAGGTTTGAAGTTACTATCTTTAATAGTTGTTGAGATATTCCCAAAAACCTTGAAAAAAGTAATTTCCCATTCATCTTTAGCAGGAAAAATCATTATTTTTTGCGATTTGTACGAAAATTGTATTATGAATTCACACAAATAGTCATAGCACACTATTCCCAGCATACTTAAAGTTGGTGCATGTCGCTCAAAAACTGTGGGAGGAGTAGTGAATCAAAATTCAAAGAAAAATAATTAAAAATATGGGAAACAATAATAGTGTTTCTGCATCTCATGCAGGCACACTAATTAACAGTTACATACCTGTTTATTCACTTCTGCCATGGCGAGCTGCAGTACCATCAGCATACTATCAGCTCCATGAATGGTAGTTCTCTCAGACTGTAGAGCTCTGTGGCACTCTCTCCTGAAGGTTTTCACCATCAGCTTTAGACGGTCTCCTAAAGCTTCCATTTTACCTTAAAAAGCAGGAAAGGAAAATAGTCTTTCCAAACCTGTGGCTTGAAGTACTAGACAAGAGTATTTATTTATTTGGATAAATGACTGTTACTGCATTAAGCCAACTATAGCCATAAAAATGTTGGGGGAAAAGTAAAGCGGGTTTACAAGTAGATATAAAAGAAACATAGTTTATGGTGTAGTACTAAAGCATTTCTTTCCCCTTTTCTTGAAAATAAAACCTTAGTCTTGCAGGCCCTGGTAGCACACAACTGCTGAGGTCAGTTAATTCCAAAAATATACCTCATTATGTTTATGTAACCTCCCAATTGTGAATACGTTATAATTAAGAATTTACGACTACAGTAAATCACAAACAATGTCAATTTAATTGCACAAACCTCTAATATTGGATCAATCTCCAGCATAACACATCCTCGACAGAAAAAGTAGCTCTTTTGAAATTTTAAATCCCGACACAGTTTGCTGCCTTCCGGCCAATCAGCTTGCAGCAGACCGCAGGGGGAGCTGTCACGTGAAAAACAATCTTTTCGTTACATTACTTTCTAAAGCATCGTGGAGGATTACAAGCGATCGTAATAAAAGAATATCTAACAGTTTATTTTAAATATATGTCGTATTTCGCGAAGTGAATTAGGTTTTTTCATTTACGTTGCGCGAGATCTCACCTATTCATTTCTACTCGATAGTACATTCCATGACGTACCCGGAAGTAGGTTGAAAATATCTCTAAGGCGCGCACCATTTGATTCAGCTGAATTGTTGGTTTTTCTTCTGCGATATCTGTCGGTTGGTGCTGTGTTCTGAATTGAAATATACTGTCGTAACTAAGAGATAGTCATTAAGTTTTCAGTCGGAACGTTAAATTGTAAGAACGAGAAAGGTAATTGTTTGGCTAATTGCTAGCTAGCTGAGTATTCCTGTCTGAGTCGGATAGTGGTCACATTTTAATGACATTGCCGTTAGTTAAGTGAACCCCGAGCTGAATGTAACATTGGTTCACTTAAAATCAAGTGCATATTATAGCTAGATCGTTTTGTATCAAAATAACACGGATACGAGTCGTTCTACTGTAAATGAGGAAATATTTACCCCATTCCGGTTTAGGTTGTTTAATGTTAACATTACCTTCCATAACTGTATACCTAGTAGATCCAACAATTAGAGATAAACATAACGTTATTGCCAATATTCGGCATGTGTAACTTTTTTCACTAGACGTTTTAATTTCATGTTATGGTGAAAATACTGGTGTATTGCTGCCAGATTTAAACCCTGATAAAATTGGATTTGTCTAGAGTTAAACATATATCAGTGCTGCTTGATTTAAACCCTGATAAAAGGGTTAGGGTTTGTTAAGTGAACCCTAGAGTTAAACATATATCAGTGCTGCTTTGTGTATTTGATGATTGCTGAATTGAAGAATCAGTGATACAGTCTTTAGTAAAGCCTCTTAAATTATGCCTCTAGTAGCTATGGATATCTTTATTCCAAAACACATATAGATAACAAGCAAATATTTGAGCAAGATTTGGCCTGACATTTTCAGTCTGACCAAATGCCTTGCATGTCTTGAGATGGTTCTGGCTAATTGTGATTTTACAAGGTTGAGAAACTGTTTAATCTATGAGTGATTTCCCTTTTTTATTTTTGTTAATTATGCAGTTGAACTAATCATGAGTATTTGAGAATTACATCAGTGTTCAAGTCACAGATTTAAGTCTATTGAGTATTGTTTTGTGTGGGGCAGTTGACAGTATGACAGAATGTGATATAAAGTCCCACATTTTATTATAATTTTACTATGAACTATCACACAAGCAGTACTTGTGTTTCAGCTGGGGCTAGGAGTGGGCAGCACAGGTACAACCTCTATCACAGTATATGCACTGTATTATTATGTAGTACATTTTGGGGAAAATCAATTTAGAAACTGTTAATTGGTAAAACAACCCGATAGGGGTGTTTGTTTTTGGCTAATTCAGCAAATGAATGACCTGAGAAATTGAGGTGCTTTATTGCATTGATGCATAATTATATAATTTTATTATTACCATACAGTGGACTGATATGCAACATTGCCCATAATTGTCTAAATACATCTAGAGATGGAATAGCTGCCTATATAAACACTACCACATGCTGTCTCAGCAGTTGTCACATTAATATCAGTTTATATCATTGTTTTGCCCAAATTTAACTCCAGCTAATATATTACTGTTCAGTATCAACTGAGTTGTTTAGATGATCATATATAAAGATGAGAATAACTTTTTCTTGTCCTCTTTTGTTCTGATGTAGTATAGTTAAAAAAACAAGTCACTTTCATCAGGGGACAGCATGCAGGAGGGCTCCAGCCGCAGTCCCAGCTACACAGTGACATGTGAGGACTATGTTCATGTGGTAGAGTTCAGTCCTTTCAGCTCTGGCACCCCTGCCTCTCTCCTGGCCTATGGTGGAAACCAGTATGTGGTAGTGGGCACCTGCCTCTTCCAGGTTAGAAATGCATCTTCACACAATCTAGGTTACCAATTCCACAGTGTATTGCTTCTCTTCTGAACATAAACTTGTTCCCATAGGAGGAGGGTATGGAGATTGAAGGAGTTGAATTCAATGTTCTTCGGGCTTTTCATCATGAATTGCGTGTTGATGCTCTTGCCTGGAGTCCTGACTCTCGGCTGGACAGGATACCCACTATCAGGTCCTGCTATTTTTTTCAGTCGACGCCTGTGCCCAGCACCTTTTTGCGGGTTATATTATGATAGTTGTAAAACAATGCATTCTCTTATTTATGTGGAATTCCTTTGGTTTCAAAAAAGATACTGAAGCAGTTTTTTTGAAGCAAAAGTGTTGCACGTGGTTCCAAGAGTGTTGACATGTTTAGAGTCTGCCCATCACTAAGATAAAATATATGCAGCTTGTTATAAATAACCCAAAATATCCAAAATACCCTTAGTATATTAGCTTTTATGAAGAGTTTCATGAGCTATTGGTTGTGTTCAACATAAGATGGTGTTTATGGTGGGACATCTACATCTCAAGGCCCTCTTGTTATACAAGAGGTCATCAGACTGTTGTTAAAGGATTAGTGTCAGACTATACATCAGAAACCTGACGTCCGTACCCTTTAACACAACTGGATAATTTTTCACAAAGAAACTGTTCAGAACAAGTGGCTGTTGTAGAGAAAGCACCGTAGCCACACTTTGTGCTTTGTACAAGTAGTCATGGCCTCTCACTGTCACACAGCTTCTGCCAGGATGTGAGCCAAGTTGTTTCAGGTGGCCTTAGACAGGAGGAAGGTAGTTCAACTATAGATTGTTAGAAAGCAAGAGTTTCTTCCTAATTGCAGCACTGGATGGGAAGATTTTTTGGCCCCTCAGGAGGTGTTTAGGCTTTCTGTAATTGAAAAGGAAAGGCAGCAATAATTCTTGGCCTTCTGTGGTTTACTCCACAGAGCCCCTGAGCCAGCCCTGTGACGTGCACACATGTTATTGTGCTGATGACTACCCACTCAGGTTCCATCCCTCCCTCCAGTCTGCACATAGCTGTGCCTTCCAGGAAAAGTACAATGTTCTCACGGGCTTGCCTGAAGCAGGGGCCTAGCAAGAGTGAGAGAGGGACGAAGAGGGGGCTTGAGCTGCAGTGCTGCCACCAGTCTTCACAGCAGCCAGTAAAGGGAACAGATCTGAAGGCAACTGAAACTTACAAAGCTTAGACACCTCCCACATAACCACTGACTATCACCAGAAATGCAGTTTTTTTTTTTTATCTTGACTGTCGGAAAGAAGCACGTTTAATCACAGAGTAAACAGTGACCAGCACAATGAACAAGAGGTAGGGGACATTTTAATGATAGGAAATGAGGGGATAGAGATAGGAACAACATATAAAGAGGTCCTCATTTGTGCTCACACAAGGGATCAATCACAGTCATTCTCAGAGCAAACTAGTTTATGTATAATCTTACAGCTAATGTGCAAGTGTAAAAATCACTATACCAATACCAGCACTACCTTCAGAATTCAGATGTTATGAAGCTCACCAAAAGTCCTCTTTACTTTGTTTTTCCCGGGCTCTGTCGAGGTGTACTTTATGGTGATATCACACAGGAAAGAATAAATTGTTGTCTCATTTGTGCAAAATAATAATTACAGTTGTTTAGAACAGCAAAGCTGAAATTAACTACCCCAAAAATTCATGACAGTTGCCCTTTTTCAGTGACTTCTTATATTTTGCAGTATTACTGGAGGTCAGTCAAGAAAATGGCTTTGACATTAAACTAAAACAAGAGCAAAAAGAATCAGAATATTTTCCATGCTTTACTCCAGAGTACAAGACTAATTTGTAGGGTTAGAGAGCCTATCCTAATATAATCTAATCTACTGTAGCAGTAATACCCTGAAGCATGTTAGGGGTGTTTGTAGTGACATCATGCCAAATCCATCTGTGCCTGCAACTGAAAATGTGTGAACCGTTGTCTGTTTATTCTGGTGATATGTGTGTGTTTTTCTTGTCATAAGTGAGTTAGTGTAATTGTGTGAATAATTGCAGGCACTGGCGTATACTAGGACTGATTAGAGGGAAAGTCCTCTGCCTGGCGCTGCATAGGTTTTTGAATAGAGACATGCATAAATGGCATGATGAATCTTTTTTTCCTCTGTGTTTATCTTAGCTTGCAATTAGAATCTCTCTGGCATGTTTCTACTGATCACTGTCCAAGTTTCTACCACACACACTGACATACATCTAGAGGTGTCAGTCTAGGTGGTTGCAGGCATATACAGTGGGTACGGAAAGTATTCAGACCCCTTAAATTTTTCACTCTTTGTTATATTGCAGCCATATGCTAAAATCATTTAAGTTCATTTTTTTTCCTCAATGTACACACAGCACCCCATATTGACAGAAAAACACAGAATTTTTGACATTTTTGCAGATTTATTAAAAAAGAAAAACTGAAATATCACATGGTCATAAGTATTCAGACCCTTTGCTGTGACACTCATATATTTAACTTAGGTGCTGTCCATTTCTTCTGATCATCCATGAGATGGTTCTACACCTTCATTTCAGTCCAGCTGTGTTTGATTATACTGATTGACCGTGATTAGGAAAGCCACCCACCTGTCTATATAAGACCCTACAGCTCACAGTGCATGTCAGAGCAAATGAGAATCATGAGGTCAAAGGAACTGCCTGAAGAGCTCAGAGACAGAATTGTGGCAAGGCACAGATCTGGCAAAGGTTACAAAAAAATTT